GAATAACCAATAACTAATTTAATAACTAATTATGTCATGTGTCATTCTATTGTTCTGCTATTTAGCTTCACGAGGTCTTCTGGTTTTAATTATAGATATATATGTTTTAGTATTAATCTGGATTATACATCATAGTTTGTCTAAAGCTGAAAGTCAATCAGGAATTTTTCCCTTGGTTGATTTCCCTATAGTTGAATGGTCTAAGTGTAATAATTGTTAACATTATTTACCTTGTAACATTCTTTTAGCAGCTTGGTTAATCTCACACCAATTTCGATCCTTATTTTCTCCTACTTTTTCATTTGATACTGATTGAGAGAACCACAGTTCTAAAGAGCTGCTACTGAAGGATCCTGAGGCTGCCACAAAGTTGTTGGAAGAAGTAGAGTTTCAGGTTGTTAATCAGGAGGTGACGGGAAAGCTTACTGCTGAAAATGAGCAGCTCAAGGTGAGGATGTTAGATTTAAATGTGATGTACTACTTAGTAGATGCTCTTCTTAAATTTCAAGAAATACCTGATGGAAATTTGGCTGCAACCAGTTTTATTGCTGCTTCTAATTCAGTTATTGAACTTGCTTTAAACATTGTGTATCAAATATGTCGCAGGTTCTTGTTAACTCATTGGAAAAGAAAATTGATGAAACAGAGAAAAAGTATGAGGAAACAAGCAAATTAAGTGAGGAGCGATTGAAGCAAGCTCTGGATGCAGAGGCTAAGATAATTGAGTTGAAGATTAGCATGCAAAGGTTAGAAAATCTAACATATATGGCTTGGTTTCTTCAACAGGCTCTGGCATCTTATCTTATTTGTTATTATTTTCTAAAAGAATATGGTTTCGCATGTCGTTTAGATTTGCTAGCAGTTTGTCTCAAGCTGAAAGTCAATCAGGATCATCCTTGTTTGTTTGATTTTCCTATAGTTGAATTGTCGAAGTTTATAGTTTTGTGCACTACCGAAACAACTGTGTTAACTCCCAATAAATCTGTGGTTCACTAGTTTCAATCCACCTCAGCTTCCCTCTGAATTGAAGCTAATGTGCTTGGCCCAAAATTTCATAAGTTTGTCCTACTGGATCCATATTTTATTATCGTGCTATTGGAATTGCCAGGAGGAATGAAATTTCTTGTCAATAACACAGATCTAGTCTATGAAATCTTCACTCCATTAAAGATCCTAATTTTCGCCTTCTTTTTCATTCTAAACCCATCGAGAGAAGTACAACTCTAAACTTGTCAACTCAGCAAGTCTTCTTGAGAGGCTTTTTAGTTTATGAAAATTAAACCTTTTGCGTTAAAAGTTCAAATTTTAATTTATCTTAATCAAATCGCTTCGACACAAGTATGTCAAAGCAGATGATAGATCCATGTATGCAGCTTCTGTATGTTTTCCAATATTTCTTGTATAGTCCCTCTTCTTTTTAGAGCAAACTTTGAACAGATAGAACAACATGCGATCCATTTTTCCCTTTTCATTGCTCTCCCGCTGTACAATAGCACTCGCACTATTAATGTGGTCTGTTAGTAATGATGTTCCCACTTGTGTGCCCCCCTTTTCCAATGGGTTTATGGTTTCTATTCCTGTGCCATCATTCCCTCTTTTGCTCCATGTATGTTCCAGGAGAATTGTCCACTCTGCTTAATATGGACCAGGTCCTCTTAAGAATTATGACTCCTTGTTCCTGCTTTCCTTCAGAATTACTGGACTTGCTTGTCTTCTTAGGAGTTATTGTTCATTCTAACAAAATGTAGAACTCAGATATATTTCTTCCATTAACTAGCAGAGAAGATAGATTTCTTCTATTAAGAATCTAATTGCTTTATCTTTTATATGTACAAGTTAAAGTCCGGGATTTCTTAATCATGTGAAATTAGTTAGCTTGAATATCTTGTTTAACTTTGCATTTGTATCTCAGGCTTGAAGAGAAACTTTCCGATATAGAAGACCAGCAGATTCTTCGACAGCAAGCGTTACATTTACCTTCTGGGAAAACTTCAAACCGATTCGCAATAAAAACTCAGGTGCTGATGCCATAGAAATGTCAATCCTTTTGCATAGCTTTCTTGAGCATGTCCTAACTTTTTTTCTTTTTCCGTTTTTCCTCTTGCAGCCTTCTGAAAATGGTCATCATGTAAGTGAAGGAATCACCGATATAGTTCCTAGTTTTATACTCCCTCTGTCCCAACTTGAATAATACTCTTATCATTTTAAAACGCTTCAAAACCTTTGACACCATTCCATCTCTGGAAAACTTTCACAACTTTCAAGAATTCAAATTCATTAAAGTGTTTCGAGTTTTAAATATAGGAACTAACATTTCAACTATTACTCTGACGTTTTCTTCCACAATAACTAGTTTAACATGTAAGTCAAAATTAACATCTTAAACACTGTGTGTACTCGAATATGGTCACATAAAATGGGATGGAGGGAGTAACAATCAGGTTGGTGCTTTGAATAATGTCAGTTATGAAATATTGTATACAGGAACCGCAGGCTGCAACACCAGCAAGAAGGTTTGGTACAGATTCTATGAGGAGATCCAATGCTGGCGTACAAGGAAAATGGTTTGGTACAGAGTCTATGAGGAGATCCATGGCCGAAAAGCAGCGGGTATGTACCCAGGATGTGGTCGAAATTTTTTTCAATCAGATTTCTTTTTCTGTTTGCCATCTTTCTCTGCTTAGAACCTTTTCTTTTTGAGTATAGATGGGACAAGATATCCAAATATTGAAATTCATAAAACATGCTACGCCAGACAAATGTTTATTTTGAAAAGCCTGTGGTTTGAACTGTATTCTCTGACTGTGAGATTTGCAGATTATGAGCTGATGCTTAGTCAAATTCCTTTTCCCCGAAAGAAAAACCAGGGTTAAAAATTATCTTTGATTCAATGAGAAGTCGGGGGAAAGAGAGGATTAATTGAATTTCTTTACTCTGGTGCTAAGAGATTGATACAGCTAATCTTTTCTTTTCCGGTGGGTGGGGAACGGGTGTCCACATCCTTCGGCTTTTAATTTTTTTCTTCCTTACCTCACCCTCATTCTTTATGATCCCTTGTAAACTTCCTTGTTCACTGGCTTTATCTTGGTTAAAAATAGTAAACAATATGTAGTGGCAGCTAAAGAATTGAACAAATAATGAGTGCTGGCCACTCTGGACTTCTCTTGATGCTTCTTTAAAGCTACCTTCCTTGCAATTTCTTTTTCTCAGAAGTTACAGTGTACCTATAAAAAAAAGCTGGCAAATCTGCAGCAGAAGATAGTACAAGGACACAACTGCATATGTTTAAACCTGGGTAGGACGCTTTTATGTGTGTACGCAATGCTTAAGATGAATTTGTGTTTAAATTGTTTTTCATATACAAAAAATATTGGCTTACTTTTCTAGGTTAGTGCTGTTGAAGTTTGGCAAAATGCCAAAGTCCCACATTGGTTGGGAGTTAAGTTTGGGGGGGATTTTTCCCCTATAAAAGAAGGCCTAATGTTTAGGATTGAAACACACCTCTCATTTGCCTTCTCATCTGTTTAAGGCATTTGTATCTTCTCTCTTTAGTATTATTTCACTTGTATTTTTGGAGTGGAATAAAATATTGGTTGTGTCCGAGGAGTAGGCAAAATTAGCCGAACCTCGTAAATT